GAGAAGTGTCGATGTGCCGACTCGACGTCTCGTTGAAAGCTGCCCTAGTCTGCCCCTACTAGTGGCGCCGAACAACCCGCCTACGACTGGAAACACGTTTACAGCTGCTTTAGGAAAACACGCGGCGATTTCACCGAGTTTTGCTTTCTGTGCAACAAATGGGTGTTTGACAAATCCGAATGGAGCGACCATTGCCGGTCGCATTTTGCTCGCCCGGACGAGCTCCCTGTGCAGTGCGACCCCCTTCTTTACGGTGGAGTGCTTGCCACCGCCGGCTACTGCTTGTTTTGCATGGCGGACAAACCGCTGGAGCCTGAGCTGCGCCTTCGTCAGTTTCTGGACAGAGGCCTATGGAAAGACCGTGTTTTTGATCATTACGAACGATACGTCCAAGCTGTTGACGACAAGACGCTGGTCACCTGCCCTCATCCTAGCATTCGATGCGGTGGCGCATTCGACTCTGTGAAGCATTTCGAATTCTATCTTCTGGATGCCCACTGCCGAGACTTTGTCAAGGAGTCAACGTCGCTGGAGCTAGAAGAGAACAATGACGTGAAACCGGCACCGGCCAAGAGGCAGCGGAAGCGAAGCGCCGAGCTTGACAGGGAAGCCAAGGTCGACACCTACCACTTCGTTGATGAGACGGTTCAAACAGCGTGTCGACATCGAGTGGCTGCTGCGTCTTTGCCGTCGCCTTTTGAAGGCCACGTGTCCCCGCCCGACAGTTGCCAGATCCAGGGCTGGTCGGGGGACGGGGATGCTAGAAGCGGCGATGTTCTGCTTCGTTCGCCATCGTCTTTAGATAATGACGGAGTGGAGAAGTGCTTTGCCTTAATTGTAAGTAATTCTGTGGGAATTTTAAAAAGATTTAGCATTAACGAAAAATCCCCACAGGATCTCGGGATACTTTTGGAGCAAAGTTTTCCAGGTTCGATACTGTCGGCCCACGATCCGGCAAGCGACGATCACTACTTCCCCCCGCCAGCGGATGCGATAGCCTCTAGCCTTGCCCCGTTCCCTTATGTAAACCCAGCAGAAATATTCGTCGTATGCCCTTTGGGAGGCAGGGACTGGTAGATCCCGACTTACCGACGTTAAATATACTCACTCACTCACTCACTCATTCGCATTCTATTGTAGAGAAAAGGGGCTGAAATACATGCAAGATATTCCTCGCGGCCTCGTCTGGAAAAGGGCTAAATTTGATATCTACATATCCTAGGGCTCCGGTCGGTTCACTGCGGCCTGCTCCAAGTCTGCGTACTTCTTCGGAAAATGGCGGCTGCGATGCGGTCGAGGCCTACTCTCCGACGCCAGGGGCCGGGCTAAGCTGAGAGGGGAGTCGTCAAGGCGAGCGGCGGTCGGTGGAGGAGCTGGGACGGAAGCGGAGTCTGGGGAATTCTCTGTGCGAGGGAGGTCGTGTCCGGTCTGGGCTATTTCTGGGGAGGTTGTATCACTGTCGGATGGATTCGCTGGTTCGTTGGCAGGGTCCGAGACGCGCGGCCTCTTGGAGGGAGTAGACGGCCCCGCTCGGCCTTCGCAGCGACTCGATCGCTTGGGCGATGGAGTTGGAATCGGAGTCGATGCGGCCGCGGCCGAGGGAGGTCTTGGCAGGTACGTCAGATCGAGGACGCGTCAGCTCCTTCGGATGAGAAGGCCTCGGCCTCCGGCCACCGGCGGAACGGCGAGCTGATTGGGCAAAATGAACTTGGCGGCACCTGTACCCCAACCCCGGACAAAACCACAGCGAGGCTTTAACTTTTTGGCTTTCAGCTTTTAGGCTTTTGAAGTGGATGTGTAGTGTTTAGCATCCTGTGAAAAGCTCGGTTCTCGCTTGGCCAATCGGTGATAGGCGGCTGTCACCGGATGTAGACCATTCCGAGTCGTTGATAAAAGCATATGATCCGGAAAACGTAAGTGCACGTCATAGGTGTTATAAATGTCAATATTTCGCATCAGCACTATGCCGAACAAGGGAAAGAGGCCACCCTGAATTTCCTCGGCGGGGTTTTGAAAGCATGTGAAAACTGTCCATTCTACCTACATAATGTCGCTAATTCCGAGTTTGCGATTTTCTGGAACGGGTAGACCAGTAAACTTCAATGGCAGCCAACATAGAGAATATCATCAAATACCGGTTTGCCGACCGCAAGCTGCTAAAAGAAGCCACATTAGCAGCTGGTGCGTCGGTATCCCGCACGGATATCGCCGGAGACGTAAACGGAAACAAGTCTCTTGCTTTAATCGGTGACGCCCTTATTCGCCTGGATGTTGCACACCGATCATATATAGAGGGGGTAGGACCAGGTAACTAAGTTCAAGAGCATGGCTTCGAACGTAATTTACGGGCTAACGGATAATAGGGCAAAGCACTCTTGTGCTGAGCGCCGCGGGGGCAAACGATTCACTAGCAGCTCTCGGGGCGCGACTCGGCCTGGACCGGAGCGTCACTAAAAATCCGAGTCAAAGGGGGGAAATCCCGCGGGTGACTCTTGCGTCGACAGTCGAAGCATTGATAGGGGCTGTCTGGGTAGATTCTGGAAATCAGTTTGACCAGGTCCAATCTGTGCTCCGGGCTCTTCAACTCACCGAGCCTTTTGAAAGCGGCGGAACTGATCGCTCTCCATAGTCGAAGATTAGGGAAACTTTAGTTTCTTAACCTACGATCCGGATCCGAACGTGGGGGGCCAGGCATCGGCCATGGAAAGGTGTTTGAAGAGTACAATTTTCGCGATTTACCAATGGATTTCTGTTTTTAAATACTAGACCGACTTCCTTCCTTTACGCAATTTGCCCAAATAGGAGTCACCATCCTAATACTGGATTCAGAAGCCGTGCCGCCTGCCCATATCGCTGAAAAGATTGCGGGAGTTAACCCGCGACCGCCATGCCTATCAGGGCTCAGCGATACGGCACCCACGGTCAACTCTACCGCCTCACTCAATCTGGAGTTTATACGTAATCTGTGAGTCGTGATGTTGCGAAAGAAGGACCTACGCAGGCTTACGTTAACAACCGACCACGCATCTCCATTGGGGCTTAATACAGCCTTTTCCTTCCTGTTATCCGACACCGCAAACACCTCCGCCGCCGGCCATGCATGTGTGCCTCGACAAAACCCAAGTGCCCTTTGACGGTCTTGATATCGAGATTCCGAGATTGCGGCTCCAGTTCTCCCTCCAGCCCGGATCCAA